TATTGATTAACCACTTCCACAACTTTTAAATTTCCATTATGTTCTAAGATATGGGAAAAGTAACTCATTTCCTTTCAACTCTTTTTTTTTTAATTATCTGGATAAGCTACGGAACTTGTTGGTTATGAGAGAATTTTTTACCATATGATGTCAGGAAGATAAGATTGAAAGGTGGTGCTAGAAAGCAGGTTTTAAGTAAACACATTATAGCCTAGCAAATGTGCATGAAATCCAGTAAGACAAAGTCGGGGCTTATCTGATATTACAAACCACTGCTGGGTCAGTATAGTTAAGTGATCCACCCACCTTTAAATACTGGATTCATTTTTAAGTAATAATTTTTGGATTAGTACAGCTCAATTGTAAGTCCATGTACTAGACTGGGAGTAGAGCAGATGTGATTTCTAGCTCTGACTGTTTGTACGTCTTTGAAAGGAGAGTATTGCCAATGACCTCAATTTTTTTTTTAATGCTCTTTATTTCAAGGCATATTTGTGGATTACCTGGCACATAGTATGTCCTCTAATATTATGACTCTGTGTCACCTCAAGAAAAAAGGATCTCTTTTGCTGGTTCATAGGAAGGAGCCTTTCATAAACACCACACATAATTAAGCATCAGTATAGGACAAAGTCTTAAAAACAAAATACCCTTGATAGGAATGGGGATGCTTCTTCCCATTACTGAAATNCAAAATACCCTTGATAAGAATGGGGATGCTTCTTCCCATTACTGAAAGGAATTACTAAAAATTGGAAACAGCAGACTGATTCTTTTCTCTGCATGTGACTCATAGACACCAAAAAAGAAAATGTTTGCAATGTTTGTAACAGCCCAGGTCTGCTTATAGAACATCATTAAGGCCACTGGGAGGAAGACTGAGACAAGATTTTTGTTCCTGGGTTTTTGGTTTTGTTTTCCCCCTTGCACATTTAGAGATGCTGCTGTCTATAGGAATCTCTTTCTCTTTGTTGGGATCAGGGGCACAGTGAGGAAAGAGGCTGATTGTGAAAACACAGCAACAGCCCTAACAGACATAACAGGCAAAAACCACTGTTTGCAACATACACTGAGGAAGAGCTGTAGCAACTCTCACTTATTTTCCCTTACGCAAGAAATGCAACAGACAACACATAGCAAATCAATATTAAATACCCAGTTGGCACATGCACTGATGTGACCAGTCAAAAGGAGTTACCTTTCGGAAGGGAGAACATAAAATTGTTCAATATTGTGAAGCGACGAAAATAAAGGAGCTGGAAGATGTGCCCTGAACAGAGAATGAAAGCCCAGTCCTGCTTACGCCAACAGATACCTGGCAAAAATATATTCTATTTTATTACTTGACACATGCTTATTTCTGAATTAGGGCCACTAGAGGATAATCTTCTGAAATGAAATTCAATGTTTAGTAGGGTGTTTAGAACATAAACACTAGAAACCATTTTACATGAGCATTTAATCTGCTTAAGCTACTTATTACTATTTCTGACATTGACGATCCCCTGCCTGTGCTGAGTTATCACTAGTAAGTGATTAAGCAGACACAAGAACCCAAATCTAGGAGTTGTACAGAGTAGGTGGATGTGGCAGTAATGGACCAAAGGATCGCTGTTCTGGTTCTGCCAGTGATTTGTTGAGTGAACTTGCACAAGCTTTTGAAGAGCATCAGTTGTACTCCTAAGAGCATCGGTTTTTCTGTCTATGAAATGGGAGTATTACTGATAATGATATAGCTTAGGCAGAGTAAGTAGAGCCTGTGGAAGGATACACTAAGAGGAGTCGATACGATGATAGTACTGACACTGTTCTAAGCTCCCATATGTGAGATTCCAAAAATGAGAAATACATCGCCACGGGCTCCCGTTCCCAGTGCAGTCAGTTAAGAGGAGGGGCAGAAGCAGAGCCTGCTGTGGGCCGCACAGGGAATACCCCCAAGTTAGAAGCGGAGACACCAAGTGTAAACTGAGCTCTCAGGATCATCAGACGGAAGGAGAACAGCGTAGACTAGGGTGGGAGGAGGAGAGTCTTGCTTTGGACAAGGGTGGGAGAGTCTTGGGGGGATGGGGGGGTGCAGAAAGACGTTTCTCTGTGATGAGAAGGGTGGAGAAAAGGAGAGATACAGATTGAAGCACAACAGCCAGCGGAGGTGCCGAGAGGAAGCCGGGAGCCACAGAGGGGAAGCCATCAGTAGACTGACGACAGTGGGAATGGGGG